ACACACACACACACGACCCGGAAGCCGGCGGAGAGGTGAGTGACACTGCATTTTGATGCCACAAGCCCCCAGTGAGATGTTTTAGATCATTTAGATGCAGAGCTAAAATAAATGAAATCATCCACTTCCACTGCTTTAGTCATTACAGTTTTTGTTCACAGCTGTGGTACAGGGAGGATCTTGCCCGTGAGGGCTTACAATTTAAGAGGGAGGTGCCATCTAATAGAAATACCTTTTTTTTTTGTTGTGTTCAATCTATAGGCTGAGCAACTCATCGAGCGTCTTCAAGCAAACACAACCACAAGCTGAAATACGGTTTGCCTCACATTCTTGGATATCATTCCAGAAGGATGGACCACACTATACCAGTCCAACTAAGAAAGAACACCAGTCAGAATCTCCTAATCCTTTATGAATGACTGCGGTGTATTTATTCTTATAATACACTTGATACAACATGCATCTCTTATTGTGGAGCAGCAGAAGGAGGATATGTGGTTTTGAGAAGGTCCTGTAAAGTCGTATGCATGTTATTTATTTTAGAACTCGTATGTATATTTAATAGGATGCCTGTTTGTAGAATTACAAATTACCAAATAGCTGTTCTTATCATATAGGAGGCACAGCATTTAATTATTTTAATATTGCAGTAGGCCCCTCTGCCTAATAATTCTTCTGGAAGATACTGTGATGGTAAAGATATCCTGTGTATAAAATATGTTAATACAAAGTCCATACTTGTTTAAATGTTGTATATTTTACCATCTGTTCAAGTGCTCAGTTTCCTGGCATCTACTTCTATCCTCATTCTTTTGGCTCTGTTGACTTTTATGGTTTTTGGTAATGTGACTTACCTGCAAGATGGTCGCAGCTCTCTGCACTCCGTGCTTGTTATTGGGTGGCTTTCACAAAGGGCTCTCTAGAAGAAATCATTTAGTATGGAGCCTCAACATGTACAACATCAAACCAACTTGGTGCTTTTAGGCTGCTCCTCTGCAGTTTAATAATCAACAAGTGTCGATGTGGCTGTAGCATCTAAAGAAGCCTTTTTAAGCCTCTTCACTTTAACCTCTAAACGTTCTAATAACCTTTTTGCCTTTTCTTTACTCTCTACATTTTACAGTTCTTCTTTCTCTGTTCTACGCTAGCTGACTGTATATTCGGGACGATGTCATATCAATAACAAACGTTGATCTCCAGCTGATGTATTGCCTTTTTCTTGATTGTAAACTACCGTATATGCCATTAAACAGTCATTTATTCAGCTGTGGGGTTTTTTGTTTTTGTAAAAGAAGATTTTCAGGCAAGCCCAATACCGTCTCCCGGCCTCCTATAGTTACCCCTATATGCAATTAAGCCACTTTATTTCTAGTCACCTTACAATGCCTTGGCCTGAAATGGTCCACTCACCCCTCTCTCCCCTGCTCTCCTCCCCCCAGACGAAGATGTCACTATCCCTTATTGCCCGGAACATAGTGACCCACGTACAGGAATCCGCCACCACAATAGCGTCTCACATTGGTCGCTGGGCGGAATTTTTGGACATGTCCGCTGAGGACACCATCGATATGGTGGAGCAGGGTTGGCAACAAATCAGGAAGGTTATAATCAATGAGTCCTGGCGGGAAATATATTTCAAAACGGTACATAGAGCATATCATGCCTTTTAATATCCCCACTAGGGGGACGTCTTCCTTATGGTTAACTGCTTGTCCGAAATGTCTCCTTCCTCTGCCTGACCTCATGCACCTATGGTCCTGCCCCCGTATACAAACTTTTTGGTCCGCCATAGTGTCCTTCACGAATGTACACTCACGTAAGAACAGGAAGTTATCCCCAAACTTGTGCCTACTCCATGCCCTTCCCCTACCCACGAACGGGAGCCCCTCCTGCCATACCCGCTGGGAACATCTCTGTCTGCTGACAGCCAAAAAGGCAATCCTATGTAACTGGATTATATCAGATCCCCCTTCCATGGACACGTTCCGCCCCTTGTTGAATCGCTTGTTGTTACTGGACAAGCTGGACACGAAATTTAATCAAGCACGCACTAAAACGTTCTTTGCTACCTGGACATCGTATGTTGCAGCAGAGCTTTCCTTACAACAGCTGCAAGATCTGATGTCCATTTTTAAGCTGTCCAAATGGTACCTCGAGGCTAAACTGACGGGTTCCCTAGGGCCCCTGGATGTCCTCTGACCCTTGATCTGCGATCACTCGAGATTCCCACCACCAATCTCCACCAGGGGCAGTTCCCCTGTTGCACCCACGAGTGCCTCTAATGGTTCGCATTGGTCTTCTATTCACAGTACCGACCCTCATGGTTATAGGGTCTGCTACTAGTTGTTAGTGTTACACGCATCTGATGAGCATCTTATCAGCAGATGGTACCCATATGGTAGAACTCTTGGTACTCAGTTTAAGTTTATGGCTGTACTTTGCTTGACATGTCTAGATATCAGTCTGCGTACTGAGTTAATGTCTCAACTGTATACCAATGCTTGATCGTTGTGTAATGTTTTATTTTTTACTATTTTCAATAAAAATTGAACATGCTAAAAAAAAAAAAAAAAGAAGATTTTCAGGACTTGCACATGGATGGATGGATGTATACTTACTATCTCATTTGGTATTAAAGTAGAACTACCCTGTTTCCCCGAAAATAAGACCTAGTACCATTTTTGAGAATTGCTAAAATATAAGACCTACCCCGAAAATAAGACCTAGTTGTGACCATTCCCAGGGCTGGTGGTGGCATAAGGGGGAACTTGAAGAGCCGTGGGAGAGAATCAGCGGTGCCAACGAAGCCAGCGCTAGAGGAAGCGAGGCGGCAGCGGAGGGAGCAGAGCCACATAAGCTGATGCCTCCTCTACAGCGCCGACTCCTGCCACAGGCGGAGTGATACCAAATGCACTCTGCCTGTGAGGAATCTATAGTGAAAGTGCGCTTCGCTCATTCTGATTACCAAATTGCTCTTGGAAAGGTGCGGCACCCCTGATTGCCCTGATCACCCTATTCTTAATTTTGCCATTTTGTATTATTTTATTTGGATTTGCATTAACTTTGAATTGTTGTACATTAAAAAAAAAATAAGACCTACCCCAAAAATAAGACCTAGTGTGTTTTTTTTTGAGCCAAAAACAAATATAAGACAGTGTCTTATTTTCGGGGAAACACGGTAAAGGCAAACATTTCCATTTTGGGTATATTATGCATTTTGCTGCTTTCCTGGATTTGGAGTTTAAAGAGCAATTCCAGAATGTTCACTTAAAGTGACAAACTTAGGAGTTAAATCTTCTAACTCTATCTTCTTCATCCCCAATTAAACATCGAAGGCAGGATTGATTCAACTGGTGACTTTTACATCAGGTGTTGCGTATTAGAGGTAGAAAGGAGGGTGATTAAGCATCAAAGAAGGCACAATCCAGGATAACAAGAATACAGATCGTAGGGATGGTCCAGTATGGCAATTCTTGAATATAAAAAGAAAAAGTGAAGAACGGTCTCTCAGCTTTAATGATGCTGTCCTTTAAGTATCTATAGCAGACATTCTGCAGTGGTGCACTCCTCTGTTCCCGAAACTGAAATGCTAAATTGTGTGAAGAAAGTCATCTGGCAATAGTAAATACATTTTGTGGTGATACAGCACCAGTCACCTAAGATACCTTAATGAAATGCTTTATATGCTCTGCTGCTTACCTTAAAAATCCTCCTCACAGCGAGTGATCTTCTTGTGCTTGTGGATACATTTCATTGGAGGTAAAGTGTGTGACTGGTGCTGTATCCCCAAAAAACCTTTATTACAGTTTAACAACAAAGATTTTTTTCAAAGTCTAGCCCCCCCCTCTCCACTATTGTAATCACAATAATGCTGTTGTTGAAAATAGGGTGGAGTCATGGTAATACTTTTATTCACAGATTCAGCACTGTTCCCTAGCACAGTTTTACTCTTTTTCTAAAGTAGTTAAAGGGAACTATGTTACATTTTCAGGCAGATGTTGACTTCCAGATGTATAAGCACAAAGATATACTTTATCTACTATAGAGCACATATTAGGAGTGGCTGAGGGAAAGACCACATAGAGGAGGGGTAGCAAACCTCCGGCCCTCCAGCTGTGGTGGAACTACAAATCCCATGAGGCATTGCAAGATTCTCATAGCCACATACATGACTCCTGTAGTTTCTCCACATCTGGAGGGCCGGAGGTTTGTTACCCCTGACATAGAGCTAGCAGGTCTTCAATCAGTAGCTTCTGGTGGCAGGACTTACTTTAGGGGTTATTCTGTTTCTATATCTTGGTATCAAAACTAAGCATACAAGGCTCCTGGTACCAGAAGCTAATCTAGCACTTTGGAATCCAATAAACCTGAGTGTCAATCAATAATACAGTTACAGTAATTCACAATCAAACAAGCATATTTTATTCTAGTAAAGTGATAACAACCTGGTCATCGCGTCCTTGCCACAGCATCTCTCCCTCAAACCGCAGTAGCCCATGCTTTCTGGCCCTCAGTAAAACACCCACTAGCTTGTTAGAAATAGTCACATAGGCTTCAAATAACCTCCCAAAGGTGACCCTAGTTAGTCCATCGACTCCTTTAACTCCGATTGTTCTTATGACGAGGCACAAGTCTTCCACTTCTTTTCCTACATGTCTGTGAGCATCCTTTCCCCTCTGTTCTGTACGTGAACCAGCTTTTGGCTTGCCATAGTCCGGATGCTGTGTGTCGAGATGGGCAGATGCAGGCTGTATGTCATTGCTAAAGGGGTTTTGATTCTGATAATCTTCATGCTTCTTTGCCCAGGTTTGCCATGTATTCTTAAGATTGCCAACAGAGCTGCAATCTTGCTCTTTGCTTTTCTGTCCTAAATGGTCCATAACTTATTCCTGATTGGTTCCATTAACCAGTTAGTCTAACTAGGAAAAACAGACACGTAAATTTTAATGGTGCCATAATGGATGGTTAACTTGCAAGGCTTTGGTTTCCCAGTTTCCCCACAATTTGATATCCTGGGATACAATGTGTGCAGACAGGAACATTGCATGATAATTATATAATCTGCCCAATCATTTGTTCTTAAAATGCATGTCAAGCCCAAAACATCCCCAATCTATCTCTCATATTGATCACTAATAATTGCACAATAATAACCCGGATCGCCCTGTGTTAATGGGGCCTTAGACTCTGCCATCATATGCAAGGGCCAACTGGGGCTAAACAATAGCACTGTTTATACACATTAGTTAAAGTGACACTAAACTCAGAGATAATCATTAAAAATGCATTCAAGTACCTTAACTATTAACAAAAATGTATCTTATTTGTGTATCTCTCAGCTTTAGATCAACAAATCGTCTCTGAATTGGTGCCGACACTGTCCTTCCTTCTGGACGGTGGCTACCCTATATATAACATACATGAGGATAAGATATAAGAGGATGTTTTGAGCATTTATATGAGCAGAGAAGCTAAACATACCAGAGTGTTCAAATATTTGTAGCTGCAGCAGAAGTTTTATATTAGCAGAGTGTCACAGACTCTATTGACTTCCTGTTATCCCAGCCGTGCATTACAAAGCCGATCAGCTCACTGAAAATACATTGTACATGTCACATGCTGGCAGCATCCAATCACTTCTGCAGCTAGAGAATCAGAATCCTTCCACCAGATTATATTGCTATATAGAGACATGGAATTTGTATGGGAGAGGCTGCACTGACCTCCTCTCAGAGGGAGGAGGGTTTATATCCTAATCTCCAGCCTCTGATACAAAAAGTGAAAGCCAAAGTACATGTTTCTTGCATGGTTTATTGTCATAAAGTTTGCAAGTGTTCTTCTGATTGTCTCATGTAAAGAAATGTTAATGGCTATGAAAGAAAATTCCAGGCCACTACGTGTATATGTTAGTATACACACATAGGCCTATCCGACTCCGACCAAACCCTAAAGAGGGGCCAAAAAGTGTGTATGAATCATTGCTGAGATATAGGTTTATATTATAGAAGTGACTTTGAGAGGTTTATATTATAGAAGTGACTTTGAGAGGAGAATTTACTAAAACTGAAACAGGCGGAATCTGGAGCCGTTGCCCATAGTAACCAGATTCTATCTTTAGTTTGTTCAGTTAAGCTTTGAAAATGAAAGATAGAATAGAAGCCGACTGGTTGCCATGCAGAGCTACTCCATATTCTGTCTGTTCCAGTCTTAGTAAATCCCCCTCTGTGTTTCTCAGCTGCAATTAAAGCTCTTATCTCACAGCAATGTGTCTTCTGAATATACACTGAGCGCACATACACAGCTCAGTCTATATTCTTGGCATGCCTTGGTGCCAAGATGAATTATTTCCCATATATACTGTATATATGCGTGGGTCATCCCAAGCCAGCCAATCAAGATAACCAAAGACGCAAAACCTGGGAGGAAGACTGGGTGAAGGTGTCAGTCAAGATGCTCTGTCTTTAGTGTTTTCAGTACTGAAAACACGAAAAAGTACTGATCCAAAAGAACTCCAGGGCAAAAAGGTCAGAATCAGTGCGGCCATCGCAGTGCTGGAGGAGTTCTCTTAACAGATAATGGCAAACGCACAAATCAATTTAAAACTAGCTTTTAAAGTAAAATGCACATGGAAGGGCTTTACGCAGTACAAGCACAACACATTTCTCAGCACATTACCAGCCAGCCTGCAAAAAAATGACACCCTGAGCATTTAAGGAGGAATGTTTGTGTTCGGGCACTGCCATCCTGCTGCTGTCATGTCTGGACCATATAGGTGGAAGCTAACTGATCCCCATCATCCACTGGCTAAAGCCCCAGGGGTCTACACCTTGCATGGAGCATTGGTTGGCAGTTGAACCGTATGGGAAACTAAAGCAGCTGTGGGACACTGGCACACAAACATGTAATATATACATTAGATTCAGACCAACAGCTGCACCATCTAGGAGGTTGAAGCCCCCCCCCCCCCAGGACAAAAAATGAAAAACACAC